CCGGTCTCTCATCAGAATATGGAATCGGCCTTTGGAGTCGATGAGCTGTCCCTCCTGGTTGACCATGCGACTGTTTTGGGGAACATCCCAGATCAAAGTGCTGTCATCAGATGTTGAAATGGGTTTTGACAACTTCGTACCATTCGTGTTGAACCATGTCTTACCATCATCGTTCGAGTAGGCAAAATAAACACCGTGATTGGTATCAGCATTCGGCGTTTCTCTGACGGTCCACGAAGTATACAACTTTCCGTCCAGGTAATCTAGGCCGTTGATGTACGCATTGTTGTTGTCACCTTGAATGTACATTCCGTAGGCTTGCCACTTCCCAGTGGATGTGCTGTAGCGGTGGATGTAACTGTCGCCCGAACCAGAGCTACAGCTGTTAGCTTGGGCTCGAAGACACAACGGTAGTACTCACTGTCCAATTCGGAATTCCAGTAGAAGGTCACCGTTACTCAGAGGCTGGAATCGCGGATACGTCAGTGGCGAGTAAGGTCCCTGAGACCCGACAAGTTCATGGACGACAGGACCGAAGAGATCTGAAGTCCATTTTGAAGGAACATCCTTTGCGATACCGTTTTTCGAGATGCAGTAATTAATAGGAACATCCTTCAAGAGTCAGAAACAATCCCCAGTCTTGGTTTCAACTTACGTGATGATCAAAGCTGAGGTGAATCTTTCCATCCCCAGAGATACCCATAGAAATCATGTTATGGCCATCCATTGTCTTCTGGATATAGTTATCGATACTGAGAAACTCCCAGTCACCGACACTGGGCGAAAGCTTTCTGCGTCCCACCTTTACGAAATGGTTGAGATATCCCGCCGGGGTAGTTTCGTAAAAAGTGACATATTGATAATCTCCATATGTAATGAGAGCATCATCTTGATAGCTCACGCCATTGAGTCGTTGGGAGCCTTGAACATCGGTGCCAATAGTCCACTGTTTGGTTGACTTGACCGTGATGGCGGAAACAGCCGACATCAGGCTTGTAAATGCGAGTGCAATCCTATACAGATGCATTGTGAGTAAAAAGGTCTAAATTGAATGGTAAGGATAATCCAGCAACAGGGACGGGACTTCAAGGCATGCTATATGAGCACTGGAGATCTTACCGATTTTACTCTCACACGATTGTATCCCAGGTTCTCACCTGAGTGTTCTTGGCGAAGTGGCTCGGACTGGAACTGAATCGGTCAAACCCCTTGTTCGCCAAGATATTGTTCACAGCCGCTGCTTTTCAATTGGAGAGGATGCAACCCCGCGTTCAACCCCGCGTCGTCAATTCTCCCGAGATTGTGGGGAGGAGGCTTGGCTTTGATATCACCAGGGACTTGAATAACGGCACTTCTGACCTTCCCAATCATTACTAGGCACGGCTCGTATTTCAATGAAATTGGCCATCCACGAGAATGACGTGGCCCGGTTTCTCACTTGTCTCTCATTGGCTAGAAAAGTCTCCTTTGAGAATCGGTTTTTAGGTCGGGTCCAGATAGCCCGACATCCCGATGCACTCACGTGTGTTGTGAACCAATGTCTCTCACTCTTTCGTTCGTCATTGGGTTACTGATTGAAGATGCCATCATATCTCGGGTTATTGTTGGACGAGGCTGATTCTCCCCGATCACATGACTGAGTCGTAGCCACTGGAGTTTGAAGCCTCAATTTACTTGGTGGCGTGGACCGCATGACGAGTCTCAAAGTTTGTAAACGGAATGATAGTCACGGGCAATAAGTAAACTTTTGTATCACCAAGAGCGATTCCAGTACACATCCTCATTCCGAAAGCGAATTGGAGTTATGTTGGACTTTGAATAAATTTCCATCTTATGCCTACGGGGATGTGACCCCATGCAGACAATATCTTCTCCCTGCTTCCGTCCTTCTCAAGACATCATGTTTCATGTCTTCTTTTAAAGGCTCAGCTGCCTCACCAGATGATCATATATCTCATCTTCCCAGCCTTTTCACTCAAGAGCAGGCAGCCATTGTAACATACGCAAGCCTGGAGGCACATATACGTCCTGCTCTCACCGCCCGTAGATCGCAACTAATGGTCATTGATTTTGATATCATTAACTTACTTTTCGTGGCTTTCAAAGCCATAACGCATGACATACGGCGTCAATCTTGATTTGTGGACTTGATCCAAGTTCACGGAGGGGCACGCGCGTACTCTGGAAGCCTTAGACAGAAGCCTACTTAAGGGGCTACACGCTACTCGTGACGAGTAAATGTTTTTTGGCCTTAGCCATCGAAAAATCTCTGTTTCAATTTCCCACTCTTTACATCATCGTGGACCTCTAGGTCAACGAACTTCGCAAAGACAATCAACAGCACAGACCAAATAACCTCAAGCGTTGTCTTCCTCCTCGATCATGTCAGAACAAGAATCTGAGTAAGTATTCACCGTTCTTTTTATTTGCTGCACTGTATCTTGCAGAATATTTGCCACAAAAGACAAAATCACACCAGAGGCGAACTGTACTTGGATTTGCAGAAATCGCATTAGCGGGTTCTTGTTCAGACCCTACTCCACTTGTACAGCCTGTATCGCGAGCGAGGCTAATGAAGACCGTTTAAGTAGAGACTCCCCCACCTCTGAGAAGCATCTCTTCCTTGTGTTCCTTGGAAAGGACCTTAGAGATGTCTCGGCTGTAGAGTTTATCAGACACACTATCCAGTGTAACAGCTTCCCCCCATGGGAAAATGCCACTGAAGATTTGAAGTCCAATATCATCGAAGCGACGCCCAAGCAAGCAGAAAAGATCAAGAGTCACCGCGATATTGTACGGATAACACCAATCGAAGCAACAAGTTTAGAAGACGACTTAGAACCAGAGGAAGATTCACCCAAGGCGCCTTACGTCGTTCGTGCTACGAATCGCAGGGACAAAGACGCTTGTCGTGTTACACATGCTTCACTCAAAGACATTTTCCAAGATCAGTTGCAACCTCAGGAACTCGGAACTCATGACGTCGGCCTTTGGAAAGTCAACTCAACGAGCGATCAGGTGCCGCTGGCTGCAAAGATCCAGGGCGTCAGATCTATTGTTCCTCTAGATCAGTATCTTCTCAAAGAGTCAGAAACTTCTGCAACGAGGAAGCGAAGGATAATCAGGCCAATAGCGATACACTATCAAGAACGTTGCAAAGCCACAGGCAATGCTCTCAAGGACCTCTTTGGGGCCAATGTGGTCCCTCGATTACTAGCAGATGGCAGGATATCTCACTGGACGGCAATGCTGTCTTCGGAAGAAGCGAAACAGGCTACAGCTGTTGAAGGGGTGTTTTCAGTCCGCAGAGCCGCGTCAGGGAGGAGAGCTCTCGTCCCTGAGCCAAATACGATGAATTGATGCAACCACAGGTAAGTATTACACCTGGCAAAATCAGACCCATCGTTCAGCAGCGTCACTTTTCATTACCAAAGTCCGCCTATCGGATAGATGCCGGTTTATCCGTCTGCAGGAACCAATGATGCTAGTTTGTATTTCATATGGGATAACAAGTGATGACTTAGTATCACTCTGTAGACTTTCAAATACATTAAAGAAATCTTGTCAGTCTTGTTATACGTCATTACATCTCACGATGTCCTTAAATGACATTTCTCGCTTTCCTAACGGCAAATTACATAGAATTACTTTTTAAACCATTCTTACAAAGCATATCTTCATTGGTGCTTTGCACTGGACTCTCGACACGAGCCTGGCACTCTTGTGACGACAGAGGAAAGAAATAAAAAAGGCCTCTAGAAGTCAGCACGAGAAGCCAAGACGTTTTGCGCTAAGAGAAATACAGACAACTGCCGCAAGTGAAGGTTCGAAGTCCCGGCCTGGAACTGCCGATGTATCATTTGGCCGTGCATGGACTTGTACGATGGTACATCATAGAGATGATGAATGACTCTTTGTGGCAAGCTCCACTGACATAGCACTTATCGGCAATATGATACCCATAAAACTTTATGCGAGATTCTGTGCCATTCGTTCCTATCGCCTAGAACCTCGACCTGTCGCCCTAGCAATAGTAGTCCAAGCATAGATTGAGAAGCTAACTAATTGCTTTTTTTTAATCTAGCCAAGCTAATATATATTGTTGGATGGCCTTATGCAGCGTTTGAACTGCTGCTTTCTTGGACACTGGGAACAGCCATGAGTACACCATGCATGACGCGGCCAGTGGCACCTAACCTTTGGTAACCAATTTTGGTGGCGTGACCTTGAATTGTTTGGCCGAGAAGTGCCCGATATCGAATTATACTTTGCAGCCTTTGTACATGAGAGAGCATAAATAAAGAGCTCCTTAGTACAAGGTTGGCTGGTGGCCCGTTCCATCCGCTTCACTTATCACTTCCATAACTACCGAGGCGTTACGGGTCATCTTGAACTGACTGCAGGCCATGGCAGACGAATCCAGGTAAGACCGCAATATTTGCCAGCCGCTTGTATAATACGTCCGAAGTGCTCCCTTGATTATATCATTTTCCTGATATGACACGAGAAACACAACTTGGCAAACCCCATTCCTTACCATGTTACTACACGTCCTTCTCTTTCCGTGGTTGATTTTGGTACTGTGTTCAGTATCAAATACCACTGACACAAATAAAACTACTTCTAGTTCTTCCGACCGTGGTGGATTGCTCTACACTGTATTCCTCCGCCGGAGTCCTGATGCAAACACGAACGTTGATCTCATCCCAAATGCTCTTGCAAGAGAAGATCTTTCTTCCTGGGTAGACATTGATGAACAGACAATTTCAAAGACGATAAGTGCCACCAGCGGTGAAATTTCAACCATCCGACGACGGCCTGATTTCGAACGTGTTATACGGTTAGAGGCTGCAACGTACGAGACTGCAATATTGCAGCGACAAGAATACCTGGAAAGGTCAGGATACATAATTCTACCGATTGATCCTGGGAACCAAGGACAATGCAAAGCGACGAATAAATCCCTTGACGTACTATTTGGAACCGATATTGAGGCACAGATGATAGGTCAGAGGAGTATTTATATGTGGAAGGCTTACTTATCCAGAGACCAAATATCGCAAGTTGAGAGCCTTGACGGTGTCAAATCCGTGCAGCCCAACCTCCACAATCTGAACCGTAGATATGTGGCAGGCCGGTACTACATCGATCCTCTTGAGCGCGAAAATCAAGAGCAATGTGCTGAGACAGGCGCCTCTCTCGCGAGATTGCTTGGAGAACATAATTGTGATCCATACAATAGCGTTTCAGATGGCAAATTAAGCAAATGGACAGCCGATTTGTCCAACGAACAAGTAGCACAAGTTAAAGCTATCCATGGAGTGAAAGGCGTCCGGCCTGTTCCGAGGGGCAGGAGATGTCGCCTTGGTATAAAATCCACACACAGCCTAGAATCTCAAGCACAGCAAGAGATTCTATATGAAACACAATCCGGGGCTCCTACGGAGTTGGTATCTATCAGTCAGCCAAGGTAAATGACTTGACCTAACAACCCATCCTTTTGGCTACTCATTTATTGTATAGTACAATACCACAATTGCGGGACCTCAAGAACTATGTGCATGAAAGCCACTGTGGCGGGCAGAGTTTTCTGTATTATGTTGAAACCGGCGTAGCCTTTAAGGCACAGCGAGAGGTAATGTCTCACTGGAGCAAGACACTTTTTCTTTCATGTGGCTAACTAAAGAAGGAATTTCGGAATGTTGCTTCACAGCATCTTCTGACTGACATGGCTATGGAAAATGGAGACAAACCTTGGTTTGAGGACGATGATGAAGGCGAGGACGACGAAGACATGCATTCACATGGTACATGTGGCGCCGGCAAAGCCCTTGGAACGCGTTTTGGTGTTTCTAAAAAAGCCACACTCATCGTTGTTAGAATGCACGAAGTCACGTCTGAAGAATTCCAAGCAGCGCTGGAGCTTATCTTGGCGGACTTGGAAGACCACCCCGAGCGTCAGAAGAAGAGCGTTGTTACGATGTCTTTGACGTTGGGCCAAGACTGGGAGGAGGATGATAATTTGCCAGACTTCACAGAGCTTTTCCAAAAGCTATTCGCCATGGATGTTCCGCTTGTTTGTATATCAGGGAACACCGAGGAAGGTTTTGAAGAACCTGAGGTAGATGAATATCCCCCATTGATGGAAGGGCCTGACTTGCCATTGATCGTGGTGGGCTCAGTGGATTCTACGGGGAATCGGTCCGAGTTTTCAAAAGGTGGCCCTCATGTAACTCTACATGCAGTTGGTGATCCCATCGAATGCTTGCCAAGAGATAGCAAGGACCCAGTTGAACGAGCAGAAACATCATATGGTATGCCCATCGACATCACCAAAAGTCTCCTACAGCTAAAACAAGCCTACATAGCCGCGCCACAAGTCGCCGGCGAGATCGCCAATCTTCTCTCGTACGAAAAAGTCCCGTTTGATACTAGCGACGGGAACCTCGTGAAGAATCTTAAAGCCTTCCTTCAGTCGGATGCAGCCAGTTGGGAGCGTTACCCCAGCATTCGCGTTCTTTGGAATGGCGTGTAGGAGGAGAATAACCCGAGAGAAACCGTTAAGTGCAGCGGCCTTGAGACCGATAGATACGTTGAGCAGGAAGAAGTCAAGCATCTGATCGAAGATGAATTCTGCCCTGAGATTGGTAGTTCGCTTGGTCTTCGCCGACAAGGTTCCGCGCTTTCACGGACATACAACATTGATACACCGAACAAGGTCACACTGTCTGTGAGTCTGGATCAAGGGCACAGCGTAACTGACTGTGTCAAATACCTCATGATGACTATGGATAACTGTTACCGCGTCGACAATGACCCCTCCGATTATAAAGGTGGTGGCCAAACTATCGTTGGTGACGCTACCTATGAAGTATACCCTGGCTCTCTGCGCTCGCCGTCTAGGTATGGCAAGCAGGCTGGTTGCGACAGCACGTACAAGTTCACCTTCAATGAGTATTGGGTATGGGGCCAAGGCTGGGCAAGTTCAGACCATGGCGAGGCTCTCAAAAAAGAAATCAAAGGCTGCTCACTACTGCCTGACATATGGAAATTCACCTATGGCATCGGAGAAGATGGTCTTGAGTGGACTGCCAGGTTTCGTACCGGGGTTTTTCAGAAAAGCTGTGTTGGTAATGCAGTTGGAAAGGCATCGGGCATTAGCGACTTTGGGTGTGCAGGATCTGGTTAGTGGATTCTCTACATAGCTAAAAACAGCGCCTACCTCGAATCTCGCGTCTTACCTCGTGTCTCAGGTCTGGATTGTTAACGGAGACACAATGAACTTGTTGATAGTACAGTGACTTTTGCGGGTGAATTGTTTTCCTTCTACACAATCTTGCTAAATCTATCATATTGCGGTTTTGCTGCAAGTCTTCTTATCCAATCATCTAAGGCGCAGTGGCAGAGTGGTCTAATGCGATAGACTAGAAATCTATTCTCCTCGGAGGCGTCTGTTCGAATCAGGCCTGCGTCGATTGGTTTATCTTTTGCTTGACAGTGGCATGGTAGCACATTGTTCTTTTTTGCCTCTTGTCCAATTGACTGACTACCTAGGAAGCATGTCTACAGCTTGGATCGTTTGATGTTGATATGCCACTAAACATAATTGCCACACCCAATTTACGGCATTATGGTTCATAGAACTCTGCTATTTAACCATCTGCAATTCTTCAAAAAAGCCTTCTATATGGAAGTCAAGAACGAGTAAGCAGTTCGGCATTTTTTGTGACGTCAAAGAAATAGCTCAATCTTCCGATGTAAAGCATGGGTCATTTGCGGGGTATCGCGGGGTACGGGGATGATACTCATTTCGAATGTCCAAGGTCGTAATAACGGTAAATGCAGCAGGGCTTTCGCTTGATTTCGAACGATGATCCCGGATAAATAACAGTTTTAGTCGGAATATAATTCTGTAACAACCAGCCAATTTGCACCGAAGTAAGCAAGTTTAGTATATTTAGGAGAACTTTAAACCAGTTTGATCTTCTACCACTAGTTTAATTGATGGATTGATTTGAAGCGATCTACCTCTCGCCACTAGGTGAGATAAATCTCGGCCTATCGGTAAAAACAACACATTACCTCTAATTAAACGTCGGATATTTTATCCCTCCTGTAGTCTCTATAACGTGACTCGTTAAGCAGTTTTAGCGCCCAAGATTGCCAGGGCACGATATCCGCACGAATCTCCTGCATGCTGATCGCTGGTTATAGACATTGTATTACGGCCCGTTTCGGTCCAGCTGCACAATTCCTGCCCGTGAACATCAACGTTGCAGTATACGAGGTTGCAATGAGATTGTTGATCCTGTGTTTTGCCTATGCACATGACATGTTCATAGATAAATGATAGATATAAAAGAGCCCTTTGTGAACACCCGGAAGCTTGTAGTCTCTCGATACCGTACATCGCAGCCACCACCTGTAGATGATACTTGACATCGGCATAATGACTTTATCTACCAAGTTAACCGCAATTGCAGCTGCTGCGGGCAGTCTGTTTCCCATCAACCTTGCTGCTCAAGCTTCAGGCCCATACGAAGCAACATGGGAGTCCACCGACAAACACAACGCCTCACCCGAATGGTTTCGCGATGCCAAGTTCGGCGTTTACTGGCACTGGGGAGCCTTTACAACCCCTCAGTACGCCAGCGAGTGGTATCCACGCAACATGTATGAGCCAGGCTCAGACCAACGCAAACATCATACCGAGACTTACGGGCCTCCCGAGGAATGGGGCTACGCGAATTTCATCAATGGTGCTGATGATCTCAAAGGAAACTTTGTCCAGTTCAAGCCTGTTCTTAGCTCCAAGGGTGGCGAGTTTGATCCCGAGGCTATCATCAAAGCTGTCAAAGCTTCGGGCGCAAAGTTCGCTGGCCCGGTTGGCGAGCATCACGATGGCTACTCCATGTGGGATAGCAAGGTCAATGAGTGGAACTCGGTAAAGCGAGGTCCTAAACTAGACTTGGTCAAGCTATGGGCTGGTCTCGTTCGCAAGAATGGTATGAAGCTTGTAGTGGCCATGCATCAAGCCTACAACTACAATGGTTTCTATGAATGGGCACCAAAGACCAACGATACGAGCTTGAAGAAACTACTAGGGCAGCTCTCACGCGAGGAATCAGACCAGCTATGGTTTGACAAGCATAGAGAGATGCTGGACCACGTGCAGCCTGACATCATCTGGAACGACTTCTCACTCGACAGTCCTGGCTACTGTGCTGACTTCGATGGCCCGTGTGCTGTTGCTGAGAAGAAACGGTTGGAGTTTCTCGCATACTACTTCAATCGCGCTGTTGAGTGGAACAAAGAGGTCGTCACGACCCATAAGCATTTTGACGTGGGATTCCGCGACACGTCCACCGTCAGTGATTATGAGCGTGGCGGGCCAGCCAACATCACGCGCCCCTATTGGCTGACTGATGACGCGATCAGTGCTTCAAGTTGGAGCTACACAGTTGGCATCAAGTACTATTCCTCCAAGGCCATGGTCCACTCGCTACTTGACCGCATCAGCAAGAATGGCAACATGCTCCTCAACATTTCTCCCACTGCAGTCGGTGTTTTGCCTGACGAGCAGCTCAAGGTCTTGCAGGATATCGGAGACTTCCTTGGCCGTTACGGAGAGTCTGTCTTCAGCACTCGCGCTTGGGATATTTACGGCGAAGGCCCTAACCAAGTCACTGGTGGATCTTTCACGGCACCTTTACAGGGCAACAGCAGCGATATCCGTTTCACTCGCAACAAAGACGCCAACGTTCTCTACGCTACGGTTCTTGGCTGGCCCGACGATAAACACGTCTCTATCGCCAGTCTTGGCTCCGATGCCTTGGTTGATCTCAAGAGCCTGAAGTCTGTCGAGCTTCTCGGCGACAAGGCTGGCGAATACGAGCAGGTCCCGGATTGGAAGCAGACCAAGGATGCTCTCGAGATTTCGCTGCCAGCTCAGCCGGCCGAGTCACTCGCGTATGTCCTCAAGTTGACCTTCGATGGTGGAATCCCTGTCCCTCAGCCTAAGATTGGTGCGTCCGTGTTCTCTGCTACTAGTGCGACTGGTCGGGGTGTTAGCCTTGGGCTCGGTAACTTTAACGAAGAATTCTTGACCGAGGCTGGACTAAAGCCTGATGCTATTCGTTTCATTCGTGTTTCTTCAGGTACCAAGCTGACTGTATACTCTGCGGGCGATTTGTCCGGTGATAGCAAGGAGCTCGATGCAGGCGAACATAAGGTTGAGGAAGGGTCCGTGGGATCCATCATGATCTCCAAGGCTTAGGAGAAGAATAGTGAAGACCTGACAGTACATAACTAAGAAACAAACATTCGTACAATGATTTCCTATAAATTTAATCTCTTATTTTATAATGGACGCTGGTGAAGGCTAAACTATTGATGGATATCATCAAGGCTTGCTCCTATAGATACGAGAGGAGCCTACGTATCCATTCACAACATTATGGGTAAAAGGGACTTTGCTTGTCCGAAGGCTGAATTGTTCTCTATCTAGTGTATTGACCCAAGATGTCTTTATGACATTAATCAACAACGATAATCGACATGTCCAAAGCACCAACAGGCCTTGAACGGTCAATCTGGGCGATAAACGGCCAATCTTCGGTATTTCGCTCCTGTTCCATGTATCTCTGCCATGACCTCGGGCGCCTTAGATCTCCTCATACTCCCATCAATCCTCCATCAAGTGAGAAGTCAAATACATACTGAGAGAATATTCCTCCAGCGCGATCACAGGCTAAGACTTGTCCATACCAAATACTCCAGACTCTCGATCATTCTACACTCTTCTGGCGATCACCTTTAGTTCTTGGCCTCAACCTCGTCCCATGGCAGAGCACCAGCCTTTCCAGGGATAGGGTGACCCTCGCGATCCATGTAGATAGTCTTCTCGGAAGATTGAAGGCGCCAGACCAAAACGCGGAAGCCCCAAGACTCGGGACCATTGAAAGCAGGCTTGAGCTCTTCGTGAAGAGCAGACTTAGCAGCAAGACTTCCAGGTTCCTCGAACATGTTTTCGTTGTTCTGAATCGAGTTGGTGAATTGAGTATCCTTCATGCAGATGATCTCGATGTCGCCTTCGGCAATGTTAGTTGAGACAAGCTCAGCTGCAGCGCCAAAGACAAGGAAGGGAATCCACTTCCACTCGGTGTATTCACCCGATTTGCCGTCGATAGGTTCGCGGTGGATGAAGGAGCGGAGAAAGGGACTTCCAGGCTTGCGGCTGTCGAGAATAGCCTTCTGGAGGAATTCGGTCGAGATGGAAAGGGTCGGGTGAGGATTAGTGATGTTGAGGGGGGAGTTGGGATCAGTGGCATTGGCGTCCTCCGAAGCCTCCATTCCCTTTCCGATATCAATGGTAGAACTGCGGACAGTCTCTTCATCCTCCCAGCCATCTTCAGACATGCCAGTACCATCGTAGCGGTAAGATGCAGGGTCCGACTGGACAACCTGGTGAACAGGCATGGTGGTCGCGAACTTGATACGAGCCATAGTAGAGGCCTCTGAGCAAACGACGGACTTCTCTGTGCTGTGCAGCGAGATGGCAGACTCGGTATCGGAGATGGGCTCAGTCGGGTAAACATGAACCAGGGGTTCATCCACTTGAGGATCCGAGGCTGGGTAGTCCGCCATAGTGTAGGTAGACAAAGAGGCACACTTGTTGTCTTCTTCGTCAGTGTCGACGTCCTTCTCGTGAAGGCTGGCTTCAAGAGCCCACTCGAGAACAGATTTCTCTGTCTCAAGCTCTTTGAGACGAGACTGCATTTCCTCGCGACCCATGTTTGATGTGACGGGCGGGTGGACTATGGTGTTGGTTTTGTCGATATGGTAAGGTGAAAGGAAGCGAGTTGTCTGTTTGACTATCTTGAGAGGTGTTATTGATTTGTTGTTGAGATATTGTCAAGTTACTCACCAGATGTTGTCAAGGTTGCGGTCGTGGGAGAAGGGAAAATGGTTAAACGGTCCAGCTTGAGAAATGAAATCTGTTTATGACGAGATTGAGGAGACTGAAGCTAACCGATGGCCTCTGCCACTGTCACTGGTATTCAATTCACCAGAAACAGCTCTATTGGCACCGGCAACTCTCTGTTCTGCTGTTTCTTGCTTGGCTGGCCGCCACTCGCAGGGTGTCCCACTCATGTTCATAGGCTCTCACTCTGACACTGCTCGCCAGATGTTGATTCAGTTGTACTTGACCCAGTTCTGGTGTATTCTCATAGAACTGTTATTTCACGAAATCTTCCAGATGTGTCTAAGCCTTTACAGTGCCGCTCACCTTTTTATTGTTCTGTTCATCGGGAGCGGCTTTCTTCAGGGTTATTCAACGTAGCTGTCCACGATTCTACGACTATTCTCACTCCTACACCATATTTTTCGCAGCAGCAGAAGGCCTAGTACTTCTATTAGTTCACGCTCTCTAGTATCTACAGTTGTTCTCTTGCTGTTCAACAAAGTCATCCTTGACATCCCTCTCAAGCTAAACCAATCCCGACTACTTAATCTAAATTAAATTGTTATAGTTCCTAATACTCACGTTATATATATCAAGCTTTATAAATTTATTAGTTCTGATTACATGATTTAAGAATCGCTTGGGCTATGTCAGATAGCGAATCTAGATGTATTCTCCGACTCGGCATCCCGTTCCCTTCCACCGTAGTTCTCCGCTCCAATACAGTCAAAGCTATCTCTATACACAACATCACGATTACTATGCAATTAGTAAACTGATTGGTCCCCCATTCTCACCGATACAGTGTCTTATACCCACCAGTGGCTGCATGTTTATCAGTGCTATTGCCATAGATGGAAAGCAGTGCGGCTGACACAAGGCATATTTCAATCCTGTCATAGCCAATCAATAATGATGTGGCTTATGCATGACACGCTGGTCAATCAACTCTGCATGATAATCAAGGCAGAAGTGCAACTAAGATGTCTATGAGTGGCTAATCCTCCACTAGTGTGGAGGGAGGGGCCTCAGTGAGACTGCACCGTTAAGCAGTCAGCCCGCAGGAGGACGGAGGAAAGTCAAGTTCAAAAGGGAGCTGAAATCCCCAACCTTTTTAGCAATGTTTTCTTTCGTTCTTTGAGCCGCGAGAGCCATTGCCCTCAACATGGCTGATCACTCCCTTGAAGCTGTTGCCCAGCTGGGTACAAGTCTTGCGAGTAAACTCAACTTGCACTCTGAAGGATGTCGCAAGTCTCGTCAGCGACTCCCGAAGCTGGTGTCTCTGGTCAACTCGACTGCTTCGACCATCCGTCAGATTCATGATCTGATCCAGCAGAACGACAAGATCTTCACGGAAGCATGCGTGAAGGACATCAAATCCTTTGCTGCCAAATGCAGAGCTATCTATGTCGGAGTCCTAACTCTCATCGCTAAGAAGACACAAAGTGTCAGTGGAGACAAAGATTCAAAGACCTTGTCAGCTGAGCAGATTGAGGAGCTCTTGGCCTGTCTTGCCAACATGAGTGTTTGGCGAACTGAGGCTTGGAACTGGCTGGAGCCGCGATTCAAGATTTGCCAGCAGGAGTTGAAGCAAGTCAAGTTTGAACTTGTCCTGCGATATCTCCTAGGCAGTATCGCTCGGCTCCAGATGGAGTTCGTTAACCCGTTTCCTACTTTTATAATTCAAGTCCTAACCTCTACTTAGAACTATGATACGTTCCCCAGGCGCTTGGGAGAATGAAAACTCCCTGCGATGTTTCGCCGAGAACGTCGCTGAAAGGCGCGTGATGTACTACAAGTCTTACAACAGAAGGCGCGCTGCCTGGAATAAGGCACCTTCACCAAAGGCCTCGTTCGACGACATCAGAAGTGTTTATTCAACATCAACGTCAGTATAAACCCTCCCGTTAGTAATAACATCTTACTGACTGTATATCCTGTATAGCACAAGTACCGCTGTCCTTTCTCCCCGTATAACAGTAATCGACGGAGACAGCTTTGGTGAGAAGGTCAAGACTGAAACAGTTGACACTTCGAAAGAGTCTCCAGAAGTTACCGTTGAGAACACTATCCAGAACAAGCAGTCTGATAACTCTTCTCGAAACTGGTTCCAACGTCTCTTCTCTCCCAGTCACAAAGAGGATTGGAAAAATGAAGACATCATGGCTTTCGTTCTTGACATGAGCCACGCAAACAAGCTCATCACCAGACTCGAGCTAGATGATAAGGAGCTCAAAGCCAACCTCTCCAAGCTAACTTCGAGCCGTCTCTGGAAACGTCGCCCTAACCTTGTCGAGCAATACTCGGCCCTCGATCAGAATGTTCGCCAGGACGTCGACAATGCCATCATCGTCGCAAAGCGCAAGAGTACACGTGAGATGACTCTTGTCGCCATGGTGGCCAAGAAGTCAGACTCGCAGAAGGCAGCTGACAAAGGATCTGGCTTCCATTACGCTCCTGATCTTAATGTCACTCTCTACTTCAAGCTGGGTACTGAGTTTGAGCCGATCTATCTCATCGATCAAGAGAGAAGGCTTGAGTTACCTTACACATCTTGTGCCACTTACAAGGTATATAGCCCCAAACAAGGATGTCTTGAGCGAACCGGTGCTAATATTTGATTGCAGATGATGAGAGATATGATGACTCAAACCAACTGGGCCCCCGGGGTTGCTCACCATATCACGGCTGGTCGGTACGATCTCTGCACCGAAGACGGTCTAGCAGTCATGCTTGGAACCTGGGACTCAGTTCGTCGTCCCGGAATGACACTGACCCTCAAGATCTGGCCACCTCCAGGTCCACCAGGTCCACCTCGGCCCAGAATGTGTCCACCCCCGCCCATGGGCTACGTTCCGCCAGTCAAGAGATATCGCCAAGAGATGAAGGAGACCTATCATGAGATGGTGGAGTTGCTCGGCCTCTCTGGAGGGTGTGTTCCAGACCAGGAGACTGTCAAGTCTGGACTAGGAGATCTTCTGCGTCTGTGGACTAATGCTATTGATCCCCATACGGAGGATTGTTCGGATTGTGCATCGTTCATGATGAGCTATACCTCTTCGAGCTCTGAGTACAGCGACTGAGATACTAGTGATTCTGGGTAGGAAGGTCTCCTTTGTTGAGTGCTTATGTTTACCTTGATGACCAAATTGATGATCTGATTTGCGAGAACCTTGTTGTCTGAAATGCCGCGGTATTAGGTAGTGAACATGCGCCAAATGCACAAGACATAAGCGCAATGCATGTTCAAGCTGAACGTCTTTTCTTGGGGCTATCTGATACAAAACATGTCAATGACATAGCTGTTGTGTTCGCTAATCTTAGTATCATTCCTTCTAGAACAAAGGTATGCTACCAAACATGACCCGATTCAACCGAAACACCATAATCAGGTATAATGACACCTTTTCCGTGAAACTTAAACCCGCATGAACCTTATCGGCCTACCCATCAATTAAAGGCTCTCGAGATGGTGCAACATCAATATTCTACGTAATGAGCCGCTCTAGACCCCTGACCAACAACTATCAGCAAATAGATGGCTAGACAATTCCAGGTGATTATTCGCCATCGTATCCACTGCATTCGCCCCTAACGAGCCCAGAAGCCGACAAGCGGAGGTTAGACTTTTCCTCTCGCCGCTAGAAGCTCCACATCAGCTGTCCCCAAGCCCCATATTCTTCCCCATTCTCACTACGCTCTAGGGGACACCGCGCGCTAGCAGTGAAAACTTCGAATTGCGCAATCGGAGCCTTGTAAAGAAAAAAAAAATGGATAGTACCGAGATTAAATAAAGAAACGACAGATCTTGGGTTCCTTGGCGATGATACATTTCTCCTCTCCACATTCTCTACTTCGTTTGGTGATATCAACATGACGTCTAATAAGGGTCTTGACGTTGATGCTATTCAGGCTGCTCCGCCCGTGGTGCAGAACCATGATGACGATGATAAGAAGCCTGTTCTCAACACGGGAGGCCACGGGCCTACGCAGCGAAGGCTGAAGGACTATCACATCACTTGGATTGGTCTTTGCAGTGGTATCGGTACTGGTCTGTTTATTGGAACTGGTTCTGCTTATGCCAGTGCTGGCCCTGCTGGTTTGCTTCTGGCGTACATCGTCGTTGGAGCTGTCCTTTGGTGTGTTATGCAGAGTATCTCTGAGCTTGCGACACTGGTAAGATCCCTGGAGCAATTTGTGTTGTTGTGATGCTGACCTGGACCTATAGTTCCCTACTGCTGGTTCATTCCCTCATTGGGCTACCCGCTTCATTGACCCTTCAGTCGGCTTTTCATTGGCCATCTCATACGGTTACTGCTATACCATCGCCATTGCCTCCGAATGCTCAGCCGCCGCTGTTCTCGTCAGCTACTGGACCGATCTCACTCCCGCCGTCGTCATCACCATCAGTCTGGTTCTCATCCTCTGGATCAACTTGATGAGCGTCCGATTCTTTGGTGAGACAGAAGTCGTCACTGGTGGCATCAAGGTCCTCTGCTTCCTCGGTCTCGTCATTGTCGCGATTGTCATCACTGCCGGCGGTGGTCCCAATCACAAGTCCATTGGCTTCAAGTACTGGAACAACCCTGGCGCTTGGGTCGACTACAATGGCATCACTGGCTCAACTGGTCATTTCCTCGGCTTCCTGTCAGCCTTTGTCAACGCTTCTTTCTCATTCGTTGGTGTTGAGACCGTTGTCATCACCGCCGCCGAGTCCGTCAACCCTCACAAGGCTATCCCCAAGGCCGCCAACCGCGTCACCTACCGTATCGGCTTCTTCTACGTCCTCGGAGCGCTCTTGATTGGTCTCATCGTCGATCCAAGGAATGCTGACCTTGTTTCTGGTTCTGGAAACGCCAAAAGCTCGCCATGGGTCATCGCCATCCAGACCGCCGGTATCAAGGTCCTCCCTTCCATCGTCAACGCCTGTATCCTGGTCTCTGCCTGGTCCGCTGGTAACTCCTACTGCTGGGTTGGCTCACGTATGATCCTCGCCATGACTACCGATCGACAGCTCCCTCAGTTCTTCGCCCGCACCACCAAGAACGGTGTCCCTTACGTTGCAGTCATCACTGCCTGGTTGTTTGGGCCCTTGGCGTATCTGAGTAAGTCGCTCTTGCCATAATAGTCTTCAAATGCCTTACTAACAATCACTAGGTCTTGGTTCTGGTGGCGCTGCTCAAGCTTTCTCTTGGCTTCTCAACCTCAGCACAGTCGCGGGCCTCATCGCATGGGGAACTCTCTGCTTCTGCTACATCCGCTTCTACCGCGCCATGAAGGTTCAAGGCATCGATCGCAACACCCTTCCTTGGAAAGCCCCTTGGCAGCCTTACACCGCCTGGTTCGGCGGCATTGGCTCTATCGTCATCACGCTCGTTGCTGGATTCCCTGTCTTCCTCAAGGGCAACTGGAAGACTGCCGATTTCGTTGCGTCTTACGTTGGCATCCCAATCTTCATCGTTCCCATCATCGCATGGAAGCTTTATTACCGCACCAAGGTTCTGCGAGCCCACGAAATCGACTTGTGGTCTGGTCGTTTATCCGACGATGCCATCTCAGCCCATGACACTGAGCGGGAGCATGTCTAAGAGCGTCGTAGATCTCCAAATCCTCTTCCATGAAATTCAAATTCCGCTTAAAAGTCTGGCTTCATCATACCTATAGACTATACTTAGAATTAATTACTCGGCATTGTAAACGTATATAGACAAGCGATATCATCCCAAATAGAACTGGACTTTCTGGCTTGACAATCATTCACTGTTTTCGCAGAGCGATTAGTGTCTTAATTACATATGCTGACATCGCGTTCTTATTTTTGCGTGTATGTCTCTTCATCGACGAGCGCCGTTGGGCAGGCCAGGGGAAGAAAGAAAACTCGGGACCTTGATCCTAAATGACAAAAAGATTTAGGTAACTCAGTACAAGTTTTGTCTAAGCTTGGGATACCTTTTGCTGAGTTGAGTTTGATGTCGAATCATAGCAAGGTTTGTGAACGATAAATTTGGCTTCAGGCTACTGCCACACAATTCCTTGGTCAAAATCGACTTGCTCTGGCGTAGTTGCAGTAGGGCATAATATCACGATCCCATTCTCTTTATCCTCTTGCCCTGGAATTGGATGATCAATGTTGAGATCAGCCATCATCACTCCGACCTGAGCAACTCGTTAGCCAAAGCGCAAAATCAGCACAGTTAAAGTAGCAACTTACCTTCCCAGCAGTCTCTTGATCAACACCAGACGCTCTCAACGTCTGCGCTAGCCGAACAGCCAAAGACGCAGCAAACCTGTTATTCTTCCCTACTTCGACCATAACGGTCATGAGAGCCGTAAAATTGGCCTCGCTTTGAAGGTCACCAGTCGTGAGAAAGTCCGACAAGAAAAACGATGCCGCGATGAACGACGCAAACGAGACCAGCGGATTGCGGAACCTGGTGTTCAGATCCGTGACCAGCGCCACTGTGATCATGATTTGAACCGCCGATTCCATCACTCTCGCTTTCGTAGTGGGCAGCGCAGCCATGTCCACCTGCGACCTTGTCAACGCGGATTGATGAATGCATATCAAGGCCGTATGTAATTGAAGATTGATGAGAACCGCTTCAGGGCTTTCCATATTCTCTGGACATCTGAGATCCAACGGCAATGTCGCAAATGCATTTGTGACCGCTTCATCGAGTTGTTGGAGTTGCTGCCAATCATTGTTGTCCGCTTCTTCTTCGACATTTCTGGAGAAGTTGAAGCACTCGTTGAAGAGATGGACTGCGACTACTCTGCAGGCGCTTGTAGAGAGCTCATACATACCCTGTCCCAGGGCTTGTCTGAGGGTCAGCGTGGCTATTGGAGTATTCGATAACAATGCATCGATAGACGATGGGAGTCGTGTTTGTATCTAGTTGGGTCAGATGGTAGGACAAGCGTTGGGGAATCGGCTGTACTCACGCTCCGCCAGTCCATCATGGTCGGCCAGCCGCCTGTGCTGCTTGTGATACGATCAGTCGTGAAAATGACCCAGAAGGTCTTTCTGCGCTCTTCCTCCTCTGTAAAGTCCAACGCAATCGGGAGTGTCAGGCCTGCTGCATTCTTCCCGTCTAGTCGGTGCAGTCCGAGGATTTGGGCTAACCGAATAGCTCTGGCTATGCTCATTGATGCTCTGGAGAACCAGAGATGCTGCGCTTCGAAATGGCTTATGAGAACCCAAGCTTGACAATGCGCCAGTGATATCTGGTCACTATCGCTCTGCTTTTGGTCAATGCCATGCTGGACATGTCACTCTCGGGAACGCTCACCTTCATCTCATCGGCTTGGATGTACTGGCGCGCTCGCACATAGAATGCCTCGGCCATGGGCTTGTAAGTAGGCGATGCACTTGCTCCAGCGGCTAGGATGGCATACTGCAGGCACATGGGTGGCTGCATATGAGCTGGCCTGTAGAGTGATGCGATGTACCTCTCGCCATGGATCATGAAAGAGTCGGATTGAAGTTTGGTAAAGTATATCGATGTTCTGATACCTCAGATTAGTCCTGCGTTCCCATAGGTCATTTGTGAGGTCTTACAGCTCATCCACCAAATGCGGAGGCGGCAGGCCCTCGAATCGGCCGGTGTCGACAAGCTCTGTGCTGGTACTAAATGGCTGAAATTCCGGTGGACTGCTCTGGGCTTCTAATCTAGCCTCCAGGTCTCCTACAAACACTGTCAATGACCCAAGTCCCAGAGTGAAGCTGTCTCCACTCCCACTTACGGATGCGACTCTGCATATCCCGAAGTCGCGGTCTGTTGGCGGGATTAATAACCGGCTTCTTCCTCGCCGAGGGATAATCGCAGACTTCGCCAATCTTGACGCATCGGCCACAGATTGGCAAGACCCTATTGCATTTCAACTTGCGTACCCTGCATCGTTGGCACGACCACGGCGACAGCGGGCCCAGATCGGATTCGGAGCTTGAGGGCGCCTGTGGCGATTGGGAGTGAGAGTGAGATTGAGAGGGCGACCCCTCAGACACGGACATGGTTTAGTGGCGTCGGCGGGGTACGTCTTGGCGAACAGGAGATAACGAAGGCCTATAACAGGCGCTGGGCTATTGCTGCAGATCGAGATGGGACGGTCGAGACTATGTTTGTTTCGGGGGAAAGGATAAAGAATTTGTTTGATCAGGATACTTTGCTCTTTGCTCTCTTGACTTGAGCTGCGGGGAGAATGTCAGCATGCCTTCCTGTTTTGGGTTACTCTGGATTCCTACGATGGTCGCGTCTCTCTTCCTTATCTTATCTCCCCACGGGCATACACGGTCCATACAATAAGCTTAAGCCAACCTCTAATAATTACATCTACAATTATCTGTACATACATCTTAACATCTTCAATTATTACGGTCAATTAATTTGCGTCTTGCAACACTTGCACTCGCTTTCAAAGTTCCTACCCACCAACTGGCCTCACCTCGTTATCACCATTCATCAAGGTTCATCACCCAAGACACTCTGTTTCAATGCACGCACTGTCTCAGAACAGTTAAAGCCCAATAAACACTGCGTCACGAATAAGTAGGCGAGCAAAAGGTCTCGACTATAACCGTCCGTGCCCGCATCGGGACATCGCACATACTAGGACTTTAAGCATATCAAAAAGCTTCTAGACTACCGAAGATCGCCATCACTTTCCTTTACCAGTCACCAATCCCGGCGATTAACGCGCTCCGATTCGCTGGTTCACCAGCGCGTAGAGATGATCAGGAACCTTTGCACTGCCGGCCAAACTAACATCACAGCGATAATGCACCAGGCGACAGGGGTGCTGCCAAATGGAGCTGCCCCTTTGGGAAAGGCAAATGGGAGCTTCCGTGCTTGGGTTGTTGTATCACATATATCACCTACCTTTTTTGAAGCTATCGTCCGCATGGCATCATTCACAGAAGTTCTTCGAGATAGAGGGTCTGCTGATCCGACTATAGTATCAAGATATCTCGTCTTGGCTAACTATAAATTCGAGCTCACGACCGCTCTGTGAACTCATCACCCCGCACCTCAAATCATCCTTCTTCACTGACAAGATGCGGTCCTCTCTTCTCCTCGCTCTCCTCCCTCTGGCTGTTGCCACGGCTGTTCCCAGCTCCAAGAAGGTTGACTACAACGGCTTCAAGAGCCTGCGTGTCACTCTTCCCAAGGGCGCCAAGAACGCCGTAGCCGAGATCAACAAGCTCTCTGCTACCATCCTCAACCCCGGTGCCAAGGAGGAGCTCGACATTGTCGTTTCTCCTGACAACATCGATGCCGTCACCAAGATCGCTTCCGACACTACTGTCCTCGTCGAGGATGTCGGTGCTGCTCTTGCTGAGGAGGAGACCTCTGAGATCTACGCTGGTGAGTATTCCAAGTAACGCATGAAACGCCAAGGAGCTAACATATGTGCAGTCCCCAGTGAATCTTGGTTCACCGCCTATCACAGCTACGCTGATCACCTCACCTTCCTCAAGGACCTGCAGTCTAGCTTCCCTAGCCAGTCTGAGATTGTGACTCTTGGCAACTCTTTCCAAGGTCGTGCTCTCACTGGTATTCACATTTGGGGTAGCGGTGGTAAGGGCTCCAAGCCCGCCATTGTCTTCCACGGAACTGTCCACGCTCGCGAGTGGATTGCTACCATGGTATGTTCATCTCAATGTTAATATGTTTGTAATTGTGACTAATTATTTGTGTAGACTGCCGAGTACATGGCCTACCAGCTCTTGACCAAGTACAGCAGCGACTCTGCTGTCAAGGCTCTCGTCGACAAGTTCGACTTTTACATCACCCCTGTTGTCAACCCCGATGGTAAGATTCATCCATCCACCGTTCCTCTGAGCCATCTAACCCAAAATCACAGGTTTCGTCTACACCCAGACCACCAACCGTCTCTGGCGCAAGAACCGACAGACTGTCTCTGGAAACTCCTGTGTTGGTCGTGACATCAACCGTAACTGGCCTTACAAGTGGGAGCTTACTGGCGGTGCCTCTACCAACCCTTGTGACGAGACCTACAAGGGACAAGCCGCTGGTGACAGCCCTGAGCTCAAGGCCATCAAGGGCCAGATTGACTCTCTTGCTGCTGGCAAGGGCATCACTTTCTACGTTGACTTCCACTCTTATGGACAGTACGTCCTCTGGCGTAAGTCCTCCTGAAGATCCCTTAGTTCTCTTGATCAATACTAATGATATCTCCAGCCTACGGCTACGACTGCAGCTTCGTTGCCCCTGAGGAGGCCGCCCTCAAGACCGTTGGTACCCGCATCACCAACGCCATCCGCAGCAACTCTGGACAGACTTACACTGCTGGTAACTCTTGCCGCGCTCTGTATGCCACCACTGGCGACAGTCTCGACTACGTCCAGGGTGTTGCTAAGGCCAAGTACTCTTACACCATCGAGCTCCGTGACCGCGGCACCTATGGCTTCAGCTTGCCCGCCAGCCAGATCCAGGCTACTGTCCGCGAGACTTGGGCTGGTATCGTTGCTGGTCTGACTGGTCTGTAAATGGCCGACTAGGCTGACGTAGCCTCACATGTTATCACGATGGAACCCCATGATCGGCAAGGGCAGATTGCTACCTGAAAA